TTTCTTTATAAAGATGTTCATGGCAGTCATTCATTTATTTGGATTGACTAAAAAAAAACGAATGGCTTGTAAGATCACTTATTACTGAAATAATCTAAAGGGGATTTGATTAAATCTGGCTAAAAAGTCTCAAGAATCATTTATTTGAATGAATCATTTGAGGTGACTCTTCTGAGCAATAAAAAAAATAAAACTATAGATATATCTAGATTTGTTTTTTTATTTATTTAAATTTTTTCATTGCTAACAAAAGTCATTTTGATTAACTCAAGGATGGTATCGATCATATATTTGACTAACTAACACTAACCAGGTTTAAGAGTTTTTTTTTTGCTTACATCTAAAGTTCTTGAGATTGATGACGCAGTGCATAATAAATTCATGTATTTTGTGTGTTTAGGAAACGACCTCTTCCTGGTGGCGGTACATGAGCTGGGTCACGCATTAGGACTGGAGCACTCGAACGACCCCACTGCCATCATGGCCCCCTTCTACCAGTACATGGACACAGAGAACTTCAGACTGCCACACGACGATCTGCAGGGTATACAAAAGATCTACGGTGAGGCAACATCCATGCATCCATCCATCCATCCATCTATCCATTCATCCATCCATCCATCCATTCATCCATCCATTCATCTATCAATCCGCCTACCCACCCATCCATCTATCCATCCATCTCAATTTTTGATGTTGGATGGATGGTGGCATGAAAGATGGGATTTGATAGCATGATGTTACCATGATAATTGCAACCCAGGCTCATTCTAAAAACATAGTACAGCGGATGTTTCTGGAGACCGTGAAATACGTCCTGGAAGGTACATATTTGTGCAGTTTTTGTTTTCGCGAATCCGGGAGAGGCCGCTGTGTGCACTTTTTCATATCCTGAACGTCTCTCGCGAGTGCCGTTTGCGCCCGCGCTGTTCTCGCGTCAAACCACCAGAGGCCGCTGTCTGACTGACCGAATGATTGACTGCGCGACCGGCCAATCGGCTGACCCACCCTCCTCCTTTCCTGAACCCAACCAGTTTTACCGATTGACCTGCCTGCCCGCTCACTTCCTTAAACCCGAGCAACAATTTAGAAAAGCCGTCTAGAAAAAGAAAAGCCCTCGTCTGTTTTTTTTTTTAACCACGTTTTTGGATTTCACCACATTCTCACCCTGTTATGAACTCGTTCGCTTTATTTTTTGGATTCTGTTTTTGTCTTACCTGATTTCTGGAACCGCTCTTCCTCGGACGCCTTTGTCAACTCCTCCTCTCTGCATCTAAAGTCCACCGACACACACGATGAGCTGACTGGACAAACTGATTGCGGCGGTAAAGCCCTCCACACGGAGGTAAGCGGTCAGCCGGCAAGCGCGAAAGGGAATGGCGTCACACCACCCCGTAGCGTTCGCTTAAAAAATGAAACGCAGCCATATGTACCTCCCGGGACGTATTTCGCGGTCTTCAGAAACGTCCCCGGGACTACGTTTTCAGAATGAGCTTGGGTTGGATAATTGTGTTAACAACATGTTAATAGTGTTAGCATTAGCACAGGGGTAAACAACATGCTAATCATGTTACATCATGCTATTAAATCCTATTTATCATGCCATCATCTATCCAACTTCAATATTTTATGTCAAAATTAAAGGCAAGGTTTTTCCTAACTAACTTTTTTTGTTTAATTTACAGTAACTCATTACTATAGTTGTACTAGTGCTTGTTTAGAAAACAAAGTAAAACAATTTTGAGTGAATACATATCGACACCCTAGCAACTAATCAAAAGCTTCCTCATAAAACCTAGCGCTTTTTCCCTCTACATCCACCCGGAAAAAACACTAAAACACACATTCGTGAGATGTTCAGATCCTCTTTCCTGGATCTCATCCAATCTCCATCCCTGAGGTTCTTCCTTTTTCCTCCCTCCGACACCGGATGAGACCACAGAGGGTGGAGATACTTCCCAACCACGTCCGCTCAATCTCCATCACTCTCACCACAGCAGATCTCCTGTCTATATCCATGTTTCATTCGGCTTGTGTTAGTTATGTAACGTGAAGGCCTGTAATCCTCGCTCTATTTCAGGAGATTTGATTTCAGACAGTCACTCCTCTATGGTATTTCCAGAGGGGTAATCCTGTCAGGCGGCCCTCCTGCCTGATTCATACAGAAAAATCATTCATTATTATTTTCCTCCATTTAATCACCTGTCCTTTCCTGAACTCGTAGCGTTCAGTCGGCGCTTGCAGAAGTCTGACGTCGCGGTTGATTGTGCTAACAGCTTGAACTCTTGAGCGCAGGTCAGCCGTCTGCTGCACTGTGATAATGAGCCCGCAGATAATTGAGGTGTATGCTGGAATATATTTGATGCCAGGGAAAATGATAGCGCTTTTTATTTATTATTTAGTTTTTTATTCTGCAAACCGTCCTGTTGAATACTGATGAATAATACACAACTAAATGTTTGATCAGCTGTACTGGCTAACGTTTTATCCACCTTTCTTTTATATATAATATATTATTATTTGTAATACATATAATAATAATGATAATAATAATAATAATAATAATAATATTTTTGAAGCAGTGGCGCAGTAGGTAGTGCTGTTGTCTCACAGTAAGAAGGTTGCTGGGTTGCTGGTTCGAACCACGGCTCAGTTGGCGTTTCTGTGTGGAGTTTGCATGTTCTCCCTGCCTTCGTGTGGGTTTTCTCCAGGTGCTCCGGTTTACCCCACAGTCCAAAGACATGCAGTACAGGTGAATTAAGTAGGCTAAATTGTGCGTAGTGTATGAGTGTGTGTGTGAATGTATGTGTGGATGTTTCCCAGAGATGGGTTGCGACTGGAAGGGCATCCGCTGCGTAAAAACTTGCTGGATAAGTTGGCGGTTCATTCCGCTGTGGCGACCCCGGATTAATAAAGGGACTAAGCCGACAAAAAAATGAATGATATATATAAATATATACATATACAGTTGAAGTCAGACTTATTAGTCCCCCTTTGATTTTTTTTCTCTTTTTTTTTATATTTCTCAAATGATATTTAACAGAGTTATGTTAATTTTATCTAGCAAAATATTGTACTGTCATCAAGGCGAAAATAAAATAAATCAGTTATGATAAATAAGTTATTAAAACGATTACGTTTAGAAAAGTGTTGAAAAAAATCTTCTCTCCGTTTAACAGAAATTGTGGGAAAAAATAAACAGGGCGGCTAGTAATTCTGGAGGCTAATAATTCTTACTTCAATTGTATATTCTAATTTATATTCATAAATCATGCATTATTCACTAAATACTACAGTTCCTCAATGTAACTGTAGAGTTTACTGTTGTCAAACTAAATTACACATTTAGTCAATGTAGTAAAAATAAAAAGCATAAATAAGACCAAATTTAGCCATTTATAAGGAGTTTTTTGGCCACAACCAACCTTAAAGTGATAGTTCACCCCCCCAAAAAAAATTACTTCCTATTTTCTCGCTCTCAAGTGTTTCCAAAGTTTTATGAGTTTCTTTATTCTGCTGAACACAAAAGAAGATATTTTGAAAAATGCTAGAAAAATCTGGTAATTTTCCTTCAGCTCAGTTCCTAATTTATCAGGAATCGCCACAGTGGGATAAATAACCAAATATTCCAGCATATGTTTTATACAGCGGATGTCCTTCCAGCACAACCCAACACTGGCAAACACCCATACACCCTCAAATTCACACATACACTCATACACTATGTTCAATTTAGATTATTCAATTCACATATAGTGCATGTCTTTGGACTGTGGGGTAAACCGAAGCACCTGGAGGAAACCCACGCGAACATGGGGAGAACATGCAAACTCCACACTGAAATGCCAAGTGGCCCCGCTGGGAATCGAATCAGCGACCTTCTTGCTGTGCAAGTGCTAACAACTGATCCACCGTGCTGCCCCTTGACTTCCATAGTAGTAAACATATATGTAAATGGCTACAGGTTTTCAGCATTTTTCACAACATCTCTTTTTGCGTACTCAAAATATCCTTTTAAATGTAATGAAATCTTTGGAATCAACCGAAGAATAAAGATATTTAATAATCATCTCTCGCTGTCTTTTTAGGACCTCCAGATAAACTTCCTCAGCCCACAAGGCCTTCACCGACAGTCCCACCAGCTCGCTCACACCCTCCCGTCGATCCACGCAAAAATGACAGGCAGACACGGCCGCCGCGAATACCCACAGGCGATAAACCAACACACCCCAACGCCAAACCTGACATCTGTGACGGCGGCTTCAACACACTCGCCATACTCAGGAGAGAGATGTTCGTCTTTAAGGTAAGCCAGTCATCCACATGTACAGTCTCTCTGTCAGAAAAACACAAACAAATTCTGAATCACTAAACAACATTAGCTCATGTCAAGCTCAGTTTTTGAGTTATCAAACCACAATGGATTCAGAACAGGCTTGATTGTTTTTAACCATAGACAGAGCATCTGAAACATGCTAGAACTATGCTAATTTATAACATGTTAAATGTGCTACCAAAATCCCTGCTGAAAAATCCAGCTTAAACCAGCCTAAGCTGGTTGGCTGGTTTTAGCTGATCGACCAGGCTGGTTTTAGAGGGGTTTTGGCCACTTCCAGGCTGGTTTCCAGCCATTTCCAGCCTGGTCTTAGCTGGTCAGGCTGGGAGATGACCAGCTAAAACCAGCTTGACCAGCCTAGCCAAGCTGGGAATCCAGCCAAAACCAGCTATATCCAGCTAAAACCAGCCAACCAGCTTAGGCTGGTTTAAGCTGGATTTTTCAGCAGGGATTTTGGTAGCACATTTAACATGTTATAAATTAGCATAGTTCTAGCATGTTTCAGATGCTCTGTCTATGGTTAAAAACAATCAAGCCTGTTCTGAATCCATTGTGGTTTGATAACTCAAAAACTGAGCTTGACATGAGCTAATGTTGTTTAGTGATTCAGAATTTGTTTGTGTTTTTCTGACAGAGAGACTGTACATGTGGATGACTGGCTTACCTTAAAGACGAACATCTCTCTCCTGAGTATGGCGAGTGTGTTGAAGCCGCCGTCACAGATGTCAGGTTTGGCGTTGGGGTGTGTTGGTTTATCGCCTGTGGGTATTCGCGGCGGCCGTGTCTGCCTGTCATTTTTGCGTGGATCGACGGGAGGGTGTGAGCGAGCTGGTGGGACTGTCGGTGAAGGCCTTGTGGGCTGAGGAAGTTTATCTGGAGGTCCTAAAAAGACAGC